TATATATATATATATATATATATATATATATATATATATATATATATATATATATACGAGGGTAGTCTGAAAGTTTTGAGCCTTAACATAAAGATGACGTTACTCGTCAAAACCATTCTAGTACTACAATAATATATGCTTTGAAAGACTTTTGTGAAAATTTCAGCCATTTTGGACGCTCAGTTGTTGTTTGACAGTCGTTTGTGTCAGTCGATATCAGTGTTTTTGTAAAAATGGAAAAAATTGAATATCGTGCCGTGATTAAATTCTTATATTTGAAAGTCAATACGCCTGCGCAAATTAAAATAGAGTTGGACGCTGTTTACGGGGACTCTGTCCCATCATTTACCATCGTAAAAAGATAGGCAGCTGAATTTAAACGTGGTCGTACCAGCTTGGCTGATGATGAGCATTCGGGACGGCCAAAAACTGCGATAACCGCTGATAACATCGAAAATGTTCACCAAATAGTACTGGACGACTGTCGAATCAAGGTTAGAGAAATAGCAGAGGCTATGGGCATATCGAAAGAACGCATCATATATTGACTGAAGAATTGGATATGCGCAAGCTATCCGCGCGTTGGGTGCTGCGCTTACTTTGGACCAAAAACGAATTCCAAACATTTGAAGGTCTTGTTGGAGCGGTTCAAGCGAAACGAGTCAGATTTTTTGCGTCGATTCATAACTGTAGATGAAACTTGGATCCACCACTACACTCCAGAAACAAAAAAATAATCAAAACAGTGGGCTGCAAAGGGTGAATCTGCTCCGAAAAAGGTGAAGACGGTTCCATCAGCTGGGAAGGTAATGGCAACTGTTTTTTGGGATAGTTACGGAATTGTATGTATCGACTATCTTGAAAAAGGTAAAACAATAACGGGAGCGTATTACGCATCATTACTTGATAAGCTGAAGGCAGAAATTGCAAAAAAACGGCCGCATTTGAAGAAGAAGAAAGTGCTGTTCCATCAAGACAATGCATCTGCTCACACTTCGGCGGTCGCCATGTCCAAAATTCACGAACTGCACTTCGTTGACCACCCACCGTATTCACCAGATCTGGCTCCCAGTGACTATTTCCTGTTTCCTAAGCTTAAAGTTTCGCTTGGAGGACAGAGATTTTCATCGAACGAGGAGGTCATCGCATATGTAAACGCCTATTTTGCGGAGCAAGACGCCAACTACTATTTGGAGGGGTTAAAGAGGTTAGAGTATCGATGGGAAAAGTGTATCGACTTAAAAGAAGATTATGTTGAAAAATAAAACTATATTTGATCGAAAAAATACTTGTTTATGTTAGG